TATGGACTTCAACTCCCAGAATTCCTCAGCCAGCTCTGGGAGTTGAAGTCCACAAGTCTTAAAGTTGCCAAGTTTGGGAACCTCTGCCGTAGACAACTGAAAAGCATCAGCTAATTTTGTTCCAATTTTTGCACCATTTGGGTAGTTTGTCCAGCACCTTCCTTTGGGTTGCCAGCAAATCCGTCTGGGAGAGCGACGCATTTTAAGCCATGCACTTTTTAAGTGATTGTGTGCATCGCATTTTGCTGATCTACCTAACTGTACCCAGGAGTGATGGTTTAATACAGATTGTCCTCAACGTGAGACCACCATTTTCTGACGCTAAGTGGTACCTTTGTTAAATGAGCTTTGCCCCCATTTTATGACCTTTCTTGCCACCGTTGTTAAGTGAATCATTGCAGTCGGTAAGTTAGTAACGAGGTTCATAAGTGAAGCTGGCTTCCCCATATGTGGCTGGGCAAAAGGTCTTGGGATACAGCAGTCGTCGTAAGTATGAACCAGTGGCCAAGCTTCTGGATTTTGTTCACAACCAACTAGGTTTGGACCTAAGAAAGGACTTTACAGAATGCAAAGTTTGTAAACCCATGACCTTCCGGTGTCTCATCTTGTGCCTTTACACCAAACTGGCTCTCCCTTACCACCATCACGGCTAAAGTTTGCTTTTTAGAAGCTGGTTTAATCTGTCTTTAAACCATCAAGCAGGGGATGCAGTAGAAGAGAATATATGTAGCTCAGGACTGAACTGTTGGGACCCTTGGGTGCTAAGTGGGAAGGAGGAGAAGGAAGAGGAAGGGGAGAAAAGGAGGAGCAAGGGGAGAAGAATAGGATAGCAAGGAGGAAGGGGGCCAGGAGGAGGAAGGGGGAAGAAAGAGGGGGAGGGGGGAGGAAGGGAGGGGGAAGAGGAGAAGAAGAGGATAACAAGGAGGAAGGGGGCCAGGAGGAGGAAGGGGGAAGAGGAGGAGGAAGGGGGAAGAGGGCAAGGAGGAGGCGGGAAGGGGGGAAGAGGAGGAGGAAGGGGGGAAGAAGAGGAGGAGGAGGAGGAGGAAGACTGTGGGGTCCTTGGTGCTCCCTGAGCTGGGTGGTTTTCTTGCAGACATTTCATGACCCAGCTAGGTAACATCATCAGCGCTAGAAGGGAGTGAGGTTTATAAACCCCATTCCCTTCTAGCACTGAGGACGTTACCTAGTTGGGTCAGGAGACGTCTGCAAGAAAACAACCAAGCTCAAGAGAGAGCACCAAGGATAAAACACTAACCCGTATTATTTGGGGAAATTCATGACCGAGGTGAAGGGAACAGATGCCAACAAGAAGAGGAATTTTTTGGGACGGGGGCGAAACGGACCGTGACTAGAGAGACGAAGGTCGAGATTGAACCAGCCTTGTTCTGATGGTAGAGCATGCCTTCTTTGGCCTTCTCTGACTCCCGTTCCTTTTCTCCTGCAGCGACTCCACGGAAGCAGAGGCGTGAGCGCACCACCTTCACACGGGCCCAGCTAGATATCTTGGAGGCCCTGTTTGCCAAGACTCGCTACCCGGACATCTTCATGCGCGAAGAGGTTGCCCTGAAGATCAACCTGCCTGAATCCAGAGTCCAGGTGAGCTTTCTGCAAAGCCTTGGTCTCTTGTGATTATCGTTATGCTTTTATCTGCAGGGGAAACACTTGATCACCAAGGACGGCGATGGTACCACCAAAGAATTGTCCACAATAGCGATTAGGTTGAATGAAACCCAAGAGAAAGGATGGGGTCAAGATCCATAGAAAATTAAAACTACTACTGTCTTTTAGTGTAGTGTTAAATTGAGGCCATCTAGAAATATAAATGCTCCATTTATAGAACAGAAACGGATGGATGGATGGATGGATAGATAGATTGATACCCTGGATGGATGGAGGGATAGGTAGGTAGGTAGGTAGGTAGGTAGGTAGGTAGATAGATAGATAGATAGATATAGATAGATAGATAGATAGATAGATAGATAATAGATAAATGATAGATAGGAAGATAGATAGATAGATAGATAGATAGATAGATAGATAGATAGATAGATAGATAATAGATGATAGATAGACAATAGATGATAGATAGATGATAGATAGATAGATAGACAGACAGACAGACAGACCGTTTCCCCAAAAGACCAAACCAGAAAATAAGCCCTAGCGTGATTTTTCAGGATGTTCATCTTTCTTTCTTTCGGTCGCAACTGCTCAATTTGTAATCTATGTCCTTAGTTTAAAATAAGGATTTTCCTGCACATCCTGCAGTGATAGAGCCTTGGTTATCATTTCAGAAACTGTTGTTTGGGTTGGGGGAAGGGGGTGGGTGGGAATTCAACTTATTTTGTTGATGAATGAAAAAAAAATAAAGTGAAAATGTCTGGATGGTTTAGATCGGGGGTCCCCAAACTTGGCAACTTTAAGACTTGGGGACTTCCACTCCCAGCTGGCTGGGGAATTCTGGGAGTTGAAGTGCACAAGTCTTAAAAGTTGCCAAGTTTGGGGATCCCTGGTTTAGATGTTGGTGGAGCTGGAAAATTCAGGAGGAGATGTTTTTGCCACTTTTTGGGGATTTTGGTGTGTGTCCTCTGCCCTCTAGTGGACAGAGGTCTTCTTCTACCCTATTAGACCTTCCTCCAATTTGTCTCCTCCAGAGGTTTTCTTGAGTGGTCGCTGGTTGGGAATTGGGAATTGCAAACCCCGCCCCCCACACCTGGCTGGTCCTTCATGGGGCCCCGGTGTGTTCCAAGGGCTGTGGGCCATCCTTGAGTGGATGGATTGCTTCCTTCCCACAGGGACCCCTTCCGAATTCGCTCTTGGAGAGATCTGGTGGGACATTCCACCATTTCTAGTGCTCTTGGGGCGATTTGGAAGCCAAATTCGAAAGCAGGGTGGAAACCACTGTTTGTTGTTGATACTTGGCAGAGGTAGCAGACAGAAATTAGGTGACCCACTGCTGCTTCCTAGATTCGTGCAGGTGGTAGGTTCACGAGATGGAAGCTGGTAGCAGTTTAGTAGGTTGAATAACTCGGGTCTTAAGAAGATGACCAGCCAACAGGAATAGATTCCTAGCTCCTGATATCCCTTGTCATTAGGCCGTGACGGGATTGTCCCAGGAGAGTCAGTTTAGTCTTGTGGTTAAGCATCAAGCTTGGAAGTGAGAAACAGTGAGCTCTAGTTCCAACTTAGGCATGAAAGCCAGCTGGGTGACTTTGGGCCAATCGCCAGGCGACTGTGAGTTCTAGTGCCTAACCTTTCCCACGGGGTTGTTATTGTGGAGACAGGAGGAGGAGGAAGGTCTGTTGACTACGTCCACTACTTTGAATTATTTGTAAAAATAACAATGGAAGACAAACAAGCGACGTTTCCAGGCTTCCGCCTCCCTGTGTTGCATTTAAATGCCTCCTCCGCCGCCTGGAGGGAAACGTGACCCTTCTTTTCAGTTCCACCTGAGCAGCCTTCTTCTGCCCTGCACACCTTGCCTTCCTTTCTTCCAGGTGTGGTTCAAAAACCGCCGGGCCAAATGTCGCCAGCAGCAACAACAGAGCAGCGGACAGGCCAAAGCCCGGCCAGCCAAGAAGAAAAGCTCTCCAGCCCCCGAGACCAGCTCCGAAACCAGCGCCAACGGGCAGTACAGCCCTCTGCCCACCGGCACCTCAGTGGCGTCCAGCTCGAGCGCCAGCGCCACCGTCTCCATCTGGAGCCCGGCCTCCATCTCGCCACTCCCAGACCCTCTGGCCTCTTCCACCACCCCCTGCATGCAGAGGTCGGCCACCTTCCCCATGACCTACACCCAGGCGCCCGGTTACACCCAGACCTACGCAGGCTCGACTTCCTACTTCAGTAGCCTTGACTGCAGCTCCTACCTGTCTCCCATGCATCCCCAGCTCTCTGCGCCGGGCGCGGCGCTGAGCCCCCTGGCCACCCCAACCATGGGCAGCCACTTGAGTCAGTCCCCGGCCACCCTCTCCAGCCAGGGCTACAGCGGGGCCGGCATGGGCTTCGGCTCGGTGGATTGCCTGGACTACAAAGATCCCACCGCCTCCTGGAAGCTCAATTTCAATGCTGCCGATTGCTTGGATTACAAAGATCAAAGTTCTTGGAAGTTCCAGGTCTTGTGAATGGTGGGCCTGGAGACCCCCACCCCCAATCTCTGGGCGGAAGTTCTCCTTCTCCTTGATCTTGTCTTGGTGGGTCAACCACCCTTCTTCTCTCCCCCTCTTTGAACTGAGATATTCTGCCTCCATCTTCTCGTCTTTCCTTTCCTTTCCTCCCTTCCGGCCCTGCCTATGTAAACACCTGCCCTAGCTTTTGCTACTATTTGAGAGGTGGAATAGGAGGAAGTTAGGAGCCCAGGCTTGGAGACACGATGGACCTGCTTTCAATCAGGACTGGGGCGGGGCGGCGCTCTTCACCCTTCAGCACCCCAGCAGCAGTTGAACTAATGGTTAGACTTCTGGAAGAACAGAAAGCGCAGAGCGAGGAGGGCCATCTCGCTCCCAGCAGGACCGAACTCCACTCCGTTGGAAAAGTCAACAGCCCTTGTCAACGGGACCTTCCAGAATTTAGCCTCCCGAGGAATCTGTTTCTTCTGAACATAATCTTTCACCTCTGCTAGGGTGAGCAACCCAGCTGGCAGGTGTCCATCCCAGAAGCCATCCCAGAGCAGGAAGAAATTGGGTAGGAGTTGATGGTTCTCCAAGTGTTGGTCTGGACCAGAGGTAAACCTCCATCTCTTCGTCCTCACCTGTGTTTGTGCAAGACAGCTTCCCAGGGGGGTGGGTGGCTTTTGAACTGACCAGGTTGCTGACAATATTTTTCATTTCTTTGGAGGGATAGGGTTGTTCAGTTTTTATTAGCTCATCCTAGAGCCTTACGCCAGAACCAGTTGTGAGTTCCTGTTTAGTTATCCTCCAGGAATCTTTGTCCAACCGTCACCTCAACCCACGGGGCTCGTTCCAACAGGAAGAGAAAGCTCATCCATGAAAGAGTCTGAAGCGATGGACAAGCCTCTAAAGGTTTGCCACAGATCCTCCAGGGACAAAAGTCTGCTACTTCCATCTTAGCCAACAGCATGTCCCTTAAGCCTCCTTCTCCAAGTCTACCTGAGAGGGCTTTGCTCCATAATGAGGTCCCCTTAGCCTTCTCCTCTTAGCTGGTTTCTTCTCTGGGCAAGCAACTACGCTGAGAAACTTAAGAAGCTTACCTTGGGCCAAGGAATTAAAATTATCTTTTAATCAACCATCTCCATTTGCAGAGGAGCGAAACCCCGGGATCAATCCACCTAATTTGTCCTCAGAAACCTGTTAAGAATATTCCAGCAATCCCCCCTTTTTTTTGGCTTTCCTATCTTCCCCACTGCAACCCCGCTCCTAAAAAAAGCAATAGGTTTAGTTGCAGAGGCTAAAAGAGAAGAGCTGACCCAGGTATGTACAACCTTAAAGCCATAAGATATCAGATGGTGCATGAAGACTGCTGACCCTTCCTGAGGATTTTTTCCCTCTCCCACCCAGTGCAAAATATGTTTTTCAAACATATGAGCGATCTAGAGATTTCAATATCTCCGATTCCCTTAGACAAATGAGATTCTAGACCTAGTGAAATATCGAAGGTCAACCCTTCAATTATTTTGTGTTGAATCTTGCACGAGAAACAATGCAGAAAATCTCTGGGTTGTTTTTTTTTTTAATATAAAGGCAGCAAGATTGGCCTTTTAATCAGGGAACTCACTGTTTCTTTCCTACCCCAATTTTTGTAAAAAACAAAAACAAACCACCACCTAATAAACATTCCATTCATTTTAAAAAAATATATATATGTAAAATAAGACAGCATAGGTACCCTGGAAAAAGGTTGGTAGAAGGAGAATAATTGTCCTCTTATCAAAACGTCTTTTTAAGTAGGAAACACTTTGATGGGTTTTTTTTTTCCTCTTCCCAATTTTTGATTTTAAAAAAACATAATCAAAGTGCTAACTGGATTTTTAAAAATCATAAAGTAAAACTGCATGGGCACCCTTAAAACAACATTAGTGGAAGGAGATATAATTGCCAGCGTCTTTTTAAGTAGGAAACGCGTTTTTTTCCCCTGCCCAAATTTTGTAAAAAAAGAAAAATGCCCAATAAGAATTCCATCTGAAATTTTAAAAATATATAAAATAAGCAACATGGACCCTTGAAAAAAGTTGGTGGAAGAGAATAGCAAATTGTCAACTTGTCAAACCATCTTTTTAGCTGTTGCTTTGATCTGCAGATGAAATGTTTTGCTAATTTTGCACAATTTATGCTGAATCCACGGTTGATTAAAATAAGAATCCACATTTTATATACAACAGTCCTAGAGATCATTTTGCATTTGCGCCTAACCTGGAGGGAAGTTTTTTGTATTTTATGTACATTAATCCTTTAGAAATTGAAATGGCAATGAAACCTCTTTTGCTAGTCATTTTTTAACAGTGGGTTAAAGAGGCGACAGTAGGCTGGAATTAAATAAATGTAGAAATCTATCGTTTTCTATAGCTTCATTTATCAAAGCTGTATTTTATTAAACTGTACAGATAAAAACAGTGATAAGTGTTTAATATATATATATGTGTGTGTGTATGTATGTATGCATACATGCATACACACACACACACACACACACACACACACACATTATTTTTACTCCTCTCCAATGCATTTAAGACCTGGACTTTTCAAATTTAAAAATAAATGCTTGGGGTGTGTGTGTGTGTGTGTGTATATATATATTTAGTCTAGTTATCTTAGTCACTTTTTTTAACAAAAGAAACAATTGTCCTTTTTCTGTAGGCGAAAAACATTTCATGCAAATTATTTTTGTGGATGGATCTCTATTTATTATTGTCTTAGTGTGTGGCATGCTGTTTTCCTGTGCAGTTACATCAAATTGTTGGTGGCTTTAAAAAAAAAGGCGAAAAATATTAAAAATGTTTAAAAAAAAAAAACCACATCGAAATTTATTAAAAGCAAGGATGGTTTTTTTGTGTGGGAGGGTAATGTGTTGTCGTCTTAATTCCTGGTCAAAAACAATTGGTTCTGCAGTGACCAAATAAGGGGA